TGCGGATGAGCAAGGCGGGTTTTTGGCCAGAGTGGACATGCCTGACTTCATCCACACCTTGAATGTGCCCACAGGGTTGGCATGTTAAAGCTCTGCCTGCTCTTGAGCCTGGTCTTGCCCCAAATCTTGATTTCTACCGTGCAGAAGCGCAGTACTTGGTGGCCTGCCCAGTGCCAACTGTTAGAGCCAGGATTATAATAATCCTGAATCTTTGTCTTTGATTTTTGTCCTTGGCTCAGTCTCTGTGCAGCCAGCAAAATGTGGTTGGCTAAAACGCTGAAATGAAGAAGTCAGCAGGCTATACTATTGCATCCCCATTATAGGTCGTGGGAGACTTGCGCTTTTGAATATCTAGATGAAGGAGGAGGACAGCACAGCTTCAACACACACAAAGCAGCTGTCATCATGCAGAGTGAGCTCATGGGGCATCCCTGCCCGGGCTCCCTACCCGGTGCTTTGCAGCCCTAGCACTGCAGGGGCGTTTCTGGGGGCTCTCCGCCTGGCAGTGGGGTCTGTCTCCTGCCCCTTTGAATTCGCAGAGGAGTTGTGGGAAGGCTTTAGGGGATTATTTGCATTTTAATCAGGTTTTTTCCATTCTTCCTGCTAAATGAATTATTAGTCAATATAGGTCTATCTGGCTTCACAGTGGTGGGGCATGGAGCAGCAGGGAAGCCTTCTGGGTGGCAAGGAGAGCCAGGGGATCCATGTTATACAGAGTGCCAAGCTCCAGGGCTGGAGCTTCCATCCAGCAGAAGAAGAAAAATCAGAGCTCTTGGAATTTGTTGGAGAAAGTCAGGAGATGGATGGATGGCTGTGAATATGCAGCAGTCGGGTGGGCAGGCACGTGTGCAAGAGGGGGCCTCAGGCTGCTCGCAGAAGAGGAGTTAATCTGTGGAGTGGTTAATCTGCACTGACATCCTTCCACCAAACACCTTTGCGTTTGACACAGCACTTTTCAGTGGATAAAATATCTCACTGAATGCTTTGGAGCCAGATGTGTCGGACAACGGGCATGGTGGTGAGATGGACGCCCCAAACCCACTGCCAGCCGAACACTGCTGAATGTGCCCCCGAGACTGAACACTGGGGGGCAAACCCTTGGTGTCCCAGTGAGGTGGCAGGGGCTCTGTCCATATCTAAGCCTCTGCAGGTATCTGCGGTCATGGCTGCGCTGCTCTGTGTCTGGGGAAAAAGAAAGTGAATGCTTGGCTTTACACCCTTATTTCACAAAAGGAACCTTAACTCAAGTTCAGGCTAGATGTAGTTGGGCATTTTTCTATCAAAGCTTTATTTTTTCCTATGTTCAGTGTTTTTCCATTAGAAACTGGGGCTGAGAGGGATCATCTCAACTTCTCCTGCACCTTCTGAGTGATCTTTGTATAACCCATTTTTAAACTTCCCTGGGCATCTTCCCTGAGCCCTGCGCTGCTCTTCATTCCAGCCTCTGTCCAAGTCTCTTGCTACGGGATAAGCCCATCCATTGCTTTGTGTCCCAGTGGACAGGAGGGACCGTTTACTCATTCCATCTTTACAGATACCTCTTCTACATCTGAAGACTACGATGACTCCCTTCACATCCCTCTTCTCTGGGCTGTACAAGGCAGCTCTTGCTCGTGTCCAGGGATTTCTTGCAGGGTGACACTGAAATTTGGGACCTCGGGGCTACCACAGCCATTCATTCACTTGCTGTATGGTCTCAAAATTAACATAACCTCCTTTGCCTCTGGTTTCTTATTTCTAAAACTGGAATAATTGTGTTACTTTCCCATCCTTTGGCGGTGTTGAAGCGCTAATGGTAGGAAGGAGGTGCGAGCTCCTCATGTGAAAGGTACAGCAGGAGAATGGCACGCTGTTGTTCGGAGTGCTTTATTGATGCCTTTCCAGTCGTACGTTTGATACGATGCAGGCGAGGATCCATCATCGAGCCAGTCCCACCTTGAGGTCCCCGGGGCTCACATCTCGCGCTGGACCAGTAGCCCCCTTGATTAATGCAGGCTTGCTTTGCCTTTTCCCATTACGAGGCTCCCTTGTGAGCCTCTGGGCATCGACAAGTAGGTGTGCATGGGGATGACGTGGTAAAGAGTGAATTACTTCAAATTGATGGAAAGCAACCGGTCTGTATGGCTTTTAAATGCAAAGTAACAGGTCTCATCAGCAACACCTTCATAACCACCATTGACCTTTCCTGGCACACGGGCAGGGCTGGGTAATCCAGAGGCGCTTCGTCATTTGCTTTTGGATTCATTTGAATTTAAGCAGCTGGTCTGCTAAGAACGTAATAATAAAGTAACGGTGGCTCCTCACCACCTGCGACATCTGCTCTCAGGCAGTCCTAAAATTTAATGTGTTTGAGAATAAATTCTAGCCTCTCTCTTGACATAGCAGCACAGAAATAAACTCAAGGCAAAATCGTGGGTTAGGGCTACATTTTCACCTGGAAAACAGCAGAGAGCTACAGGACACAACTTGTCCTCCTGCCTGAACCTCCTCCAAACCCCGTCCCCTCCCTCGTTGTCTTTTGTCGTCAGATGCTCTGATGCACTGCTCCCTTTTCAGGGGTTGAGATGGGGAAGAAAGGGAGTGATTTTTTTTTTTTTTTTTAAACTTTCTTAAGTAGAAAAAATGATGTAGAGCGGGACTGCAGCTCCTCGTTACCTGTTTGGCAGTGCCTCTCTTGGGGCACCCTGGGACAAGAAATGCCCTTCTCTTTGGTGTCCGTGCTCTATCTGTGGTGTATCGACCTGACCCTGCTGCTCTATTTCTGACAACATAAATAATTTCCCCATACATTTAAGTGGATATATTTTCTGATTTTTCTTCCTGAGATACAAAGCCTTACCCTTATTGAAATAATACTGTATTAGAGGACTCTTCATCTAGTTTAGCAAAGGAAATAGTCATCATTAATGCTTTTCCATTCTGTCCTCAGACCGACAGGAATTCCTGGAAGCAATGAGCCGTACAACCTGGGAATGGTGACAACCCACGGGCTAGAGACTTCCCATGCAGATACGTTTAGCAATATTTCAAGGGAAGGGACTTTAATGGTGAGGGAGGTAAGTTGTAAAACAAATATTTCCATGGAGCATCTTCAGGAGGTTTTGCCCATGTAAGCACAAAAACTAACAGTGCTGTGTGTCCGGAACACAAAATGACTGAGTAAATTGTGCTCCTTAGTGCTCTCGTTCATACAATTTACACTCGGAGCAAATGTGACAAGTGCAAATGTTTCTCAGAACTACAAACAGCAGTGAATAGTAACGCCAGGGCACAGTGGGGAGGATGCTTGTACAAATGACTTTGCCGTAATCCCATGATAGCTCCAGGCAACAGAATTTACCTTCAATTTACAGCGTTTAGTTAATACACTTGGAACCTAGCCCAAAGTTTCGCCTCTTCTTCCCAACCTTTGCCACCGTATAACCGTCAGAGGCGTGCAGTGTTTGTAGAGCATTTGGAGGCTTCTACCAGGGGCTGGTCCTGCTCGGGGCCCCCGAGCCCCCCTCCCCACCAGCCAGCCATCCTGTGCGCGCCCAGCAAGCCGGCTGCAGGGGGCACTGGGCATCCCACACGGGTGTGAGCCCCTGTCCCCAGCGTCACGGAGGTAAGGCTGCGGTGGGAGCAATCCTGATGGATGGTACTGCAGGAATGAGGCAGAGGAGGCATGTTCAGTTGGCTGTGGAAGATGTCCCTCAGTGTTTCTCAGTTTCCCAGTTGCTGGAATATGCTGGTGACACTGCTGGAAATGCAGACGGGTAGCAGATCTCCCGGTGAGGGGGCAGGAGGCTCTGGCAGTGAAACAGGGGAGTCACTCTCCTGCCGGCATGTAAAGGAGGTGGATGGGAGAGGAGAAGGAGTGGGGGGATGTTGGAGTCAGCAATCATAAAGGAGGAATGTTTAGATGAAATGCAGACTAGGCTTGAGCAGCACTCTGATTCTTAATTCTGGTTTATATAAAATACATATGAAAGGGAAAAAAATGAATGTAACTTTGAAGGAGAGGAAGGAGCTAGCAAAAGAAGTCACAACATATTTGCTGCCTTCCTCCACAAGTTTTGGAGCTGGGCAGCAACGCACAGCCCACCTAACCCCTCGCTGGCACGGAGCTGTTCAGAGCAGGGATCCCCCCAGGCTGGGCCGCCCTCTGCGCATCCTTATAGCAGGGAGGGTGATGCGGTTGAGCAGGAGAACAAGTCACTGCTGTAACAGTGAAGCCATTTCTGAAAGGAGCTTGGTGTTAAGCATCGCAACGGTAAAACACGTGCCACGCCAGCAAGGCCGCTTGAGAAAACAGTGATGCAGAAGGGTTTAAAAGCCATGGGTGAGACAGGCAGCTGGGAAACCCCTTTGGGAGGAGGGAGCGTGATAAGAAGCCCAAACTGCAGCCTCGTGCTGGGTGCTGTTTGCTCCCCGCTACCGCCGTAGCCATCAGAGGACAGATTCGCTGAGGTCAGTGGGCTTTGGGCAAAGGGCTTTTCGCTCTTTGGCAGGATGGCAAGGTGGCTGGAGGTGATGGTAACGAGCGAGCAAAAGATAAATGTTGTCAGGGCTGGTCAGAAGCTTGGTGAGCCTGTTCAGAGGGAGTTTCCCACTAATCCCAGTAAATGGGCAAGTCTCTGTAATGATCTCGTTGATGTGCTCCGGGTAGGTAGGATTCATCAAAATGGCAAATACCTCAAAGCAATAGGCAGGGAAGGGAGAAACTTCCCAGCACCTGCCTTGCACAAGGTGGGGATGGAGAGGAAGGGGAGCCCCGGGGAAGCCCTGGGAACCTCGTGCGCAGAGCGAGACGCCAGTTGTTCTGCCGATGTTCTGCCAATGCTGCCGCTGTTCACTGCTGTTTTGGGTTACAGAAACATGCGACGGGGGCTGTGTTGGCATTTGCAGTTGGGCTACTCGCCGCTGTAGCTGTGCAAAGCCGTTAAGGCTAATGCTGATCGAGGGGTCAGATTCTGCTGTCACCGTGGCTGGCGGCCGCGTGGGAGGAGAGCTGGCCATGGGGTTTGCACCCATGGTGGCAAGAGCAGAATCTGCCCTGCATTCCTTGTCTCAAAATGACAGTGATCAGGCTTCTCTCTGTAACGTGGCTAATGACTCTGTATTGACTTTGTGATTAATCCTGTCTTTATTTCTCCTGGGGCGGGGGGTTGGTTTGCTGCTTGCCAGATTGCATGGGGATGGAAAGAGAGAGGGTCCTTCTCCTGCGCTTGCTTTGGGAACAGGGGGACTGCCAACGACTTGGGTTTGTTTGGTTTTTTCCTCTTCTTTTTCTCTTCCCCCCCCTCCCCCCCTTCTCGTTCTTCCTCATGCCTTGTGTCTCTGCAGACCTCTGGTGAAAAAAAGCGTTCTGGCCACGCAGCCAGCAATGGCTTTGCAGGTCACATCAATCTACCTGACCTGGTGCAGCAAAGCCACTCGCCTGCAGGCACGCCGACCGAGGCCCTGGGGCGAGTCTCCACGCATGCGCAGGACATGGACTCGGTGCCTGAAGTAGGTGGTGGGGGGGTTCCTCTTTCTCCTTTGCATCGCTTTAAACAAGTATTAACATCTGCCCCATAAAGGGGCTTTCCTGCTTTCCTCCCTGGCTTTCTTGGCTCTTCTCTCTCTTTGTGTCTGGTCCACGTGGGTGAGCATAGTGGAAATGCAAGGGAATCTGATGGGTTATTGCTGTGGCTGATGGTAGAAATTTATACTAGGTCTTCTCTCAAGCCCACCAGCTGGAGTTTTGGTGGTGATGGCTTGAATGCTGCCAACGGATGTGCAAGTTCCCCCCCCGCCCTTTTTTTTTTGCACTTGGAAATAAGAGAAAATTTTGAGAGCCAGAGATGCCATTAACTTCAGTTGGGCCCAGCTTCCACCCTTGTGATCTCTGATACTTAACATAACTCAAAAGGTTAGCAAAAACCAAAGACAACAAAGTTCTGCATAGTTCTTCAGACTAGCAAAAATCTGCACACCTTTAAAATTGTGTGTTTCCAGTCATGGCAAAGTATTTCTCCCTGGTAGCTGTTTTACAGGGACATGATTGAACATTAACAATGTATAAGGCGTAAAAAGTCCTAGAAAGTACAAGATATGACACATAAGACAAGGGAATTGGTGTTTCTTGCTTACCATCACCAGCTGTGGGAACCAGGCAGAGTTCTCTGTTTTCCTGTTAAAAATCAACCCATTTGGTGCTAAATCAGCTGTTTTATTTAATTTTTTCTTTTTATTTTGTTGGTTATACATCAAAAGTTCTGTCATCGTATTCTCTTTCATAGAACTGATGTACTTATTTTATGGTTTACTTTTACTAGCAGTATAAAAATAAAAACTGCTTGGAATTGGGCATTGATAAAACGTAAGAACAGATGGTGCGTAACTTGACCTCAAGGTTTTATGCGTTTCCTCGTTGCCTTTAAAAGCAGTGATGAGAGAGTTGATCCTGAATGTAACACCTTCCACGGTCATCCTGGGACTCCTTAAACACAGGCAGACAGTATGCAAGGATTGGGTTTAAATATACTCATTTATAGAATACCAACCAAGAAGATCTTTTCCATTTCTAAAACTGCATTTTTAGGGCTGACTGAGCCGGGAGTGGGTGTAAGTGGAAACTTGGGGATTTAGTTCTCAGGCTTCCAGGTGACTCATGGTGCTGCGAGCAAAAAGAAGGGAGCACACACAATCTCACCCTGCAGCTTGATGCTGTCTCCGTAGGCCACCACGGAGGTTTATAGGCAGTTGAACAGGACCTGGAGGAAGATGAGGTCTTAATATTTAAATAAGGGACTTGGATGCTGTTAAAATGCCAGCTTCTTAGGAGACTGGCTGAATCTGAGCAAGGAAAAGAAGTGCTCGGTACATTGGGATGAGGGGTTTCTTCGTAATGCATTTGTCGGAAAGTGCCTGGCTCTCAGCTAGAAAGCATCCGCGTGAATACTGATTTTTTCCCCCTCCTTGAATTGTTGGTGCTTTGTGGAAAAGACATCCAGTGCAGGGAAAAAAACGTGTATTTCTTGGATATCGAAGAAGCACAAAGTAGTGAGTTTATCTTACATGCGCACAAAAATATCACGGCATACTGTGTATGTAAATGTGGTATCTGTTCCTGCAGCCTTCCCTGCCACAGGCTGTTAACTCCTTCCATGGGTCTCGGTTACCATGTGCTTTTTGGAAATCCATCCCATTTCTATGGAAACAGGCGGGCTGTCAGGGACATAGAGACAGGAGGGAAGCGGGATGCGCAGCGTGGTTTTGGCAGGCACGGGGCATGGATGCCAGCTCGCCCATGGGTGCCAGCCCCAAAACACTTGGAAAGTTTTTGCTCATAAACCTTTTTGTCACGCGATGGAGGACAGGTACGAGCCCAGCCCAGTTTCGGTACGATGTGCCGGGGCGGTGGTGTTCCCCATGGCACGCGTTCCCGCGGCACGGGCTCGTCCCCGTGCCAGTTCTCCATCCAGGGGCTGCGGCGGTGGCGTTGGGCGCAGGGAGCAGCCTGGGCTCTGGTGACTCGGTGACATGAAAGCTGAGGGAGATTTATTTCAGGGAAGGAAAATGCCCCAAGGAAGAAAAATGTGAGCAGTAATGTTGCTGCAGAAGGACTTGGGTTTTGCTGCTGTTACAGCTCTTCATGGAGGTCATACGTAAAGCATATCCTGGGTAAATACTGCAGTAGGAAAAATAAGCTGCTCAACGAGGGGGAAAATCACATCACATTGATTCCCAAGGCAAGGATTTCCTCTTGCCTGGGAGAAGGCCTCAGCCCCATTTTCTGCCTTAACAAAGCAATGACTTTAAAAAGAAAGCAGTGCGATGTTGCAGTTTGTTCCTCTCCAAATTCCCCTGGCAAAGTATTGGCTCTGACATTCCCCGCGGTACCTTCAGATTAGGTTTCGTTAGCTTAGAAATGGCCATTTCTGCAGTCCCACCTGAAATGCTGTGGACAATTTAAAACACTTTATTGAAATTGCAGGCGACCTGTACGTGATGTCCCCGTGAGGTGTGCTGAAGACCGGACTTTGGGGGGGATGGAGCAATGTGGGGGATGCCGTCTTCTGATGAGCCTGAGTATCCGAGGCATTTTCAAACATCCCCTGTTCAAAAGCTCACCCTAAATTTAGTATCGCATAGCTCACCCCAAGCCTTCCCCATCTCCAGCACTTCAGATCCTCCCAAAACCGGAGCAGCCAGGCATACTGAGGGGTGTTGCTGGGTCCTGCCTCAGTGGTGGGCATGAGGAGCAGCGATAACAGCCCAGCAGAAAGAAAAATAGGCATTTTGCTAAGGAGCTGATTTTTCCTACTTTCCCAGCAGCATCATCAATATTTTGGGCTTAGCCCAGCAAAACCCTAGATTACAGCTGGCAAAAGCAGAGTGGTATTACAGCAGTACGAGCTCTCCCGCTTATGCTTTACAGTCCTAAAATAGATTTCCATGACCTGTTGAAATAAAATCTTTGCTCAGACTGTGCTAGTTAGCATTTTGCTTTGGCACAAGGAAAACAGAAGTCCCTCCTTTTCCGGCTCTGAATTACTCTGGTGGTCATTGGTCTGTGTCCACTGCCCTGTGCCGGAGCTTTCTGGAGGCTCCCAGCACCATCCTGCCAACCTCGGCTGCAAGGTGGGAGAGTGGGAAAAGCAAACTCTTGCCTGCCTGACTTCCCTGCTTTTAAGGCAGGCGTGTTACATGCAGAGAAGTTGGTTTTTACCTGCATTGACTTTTGCCTCTGGCCCTGCGGCTTCTCCGCTAACTGGTCTCATGGCTGTGCTGTGCTTCTGCCTGCGAGACGAGAGCAGAGCCAGGCCCTGCTCCTCTTGTTTTCTGTTCCTCATGGACACTCACAAATCCAATTTAATGTTTTTCCTGATTAGTTGTCGGGGAGGAGGAGCAGATGTTCATAGAGGGCTCGAAAAGGACACCAGCGGGGCAGGCACCGGGTCTGCTAATTAGAAAGTCTTACATATACACACATACACAAAATTATTGTTATTTCAGTGCTCTGAGATCTCTCTTTGCTGTTTATTTTCCAGTATGGTATGGGAAGTAGCACCAAAGCCTCTTTCACCCCCTTTGTGGACACCAGAGTGTATCAGACCTCGCCCACTGATGAAGATGAAGATGAGGACGAAGAGTCATCTGCTACTGGTAGGAGGCAATGGGGCCAGTTTGAGAGGGGAGGGCAGCGTGGAGACCGGGTTGTGGAGCCTGAATAACCCCACTGAACCTTTTCTACCTTTCACTTACTCTTGTCCAAACATTGCTCATGTCTGCATCCTTGTGCTCACCAGTTTCCATCCAACTTCTCGCCCACCAGTGAAATGCCATCAGAAGGGTCCAGGAAAAAATAGGGAACAGCAGAAATCCACCCACACGTCTGCCTGGGCAGCCAGGAGGAATGTTCCTGGCAGAACTAGGAGGTGGTAATTGCTCCAAAAAGCTGGCAGTCATTGAAAATGGCTGGATATGGGCAGGCGGGCAGTGAATAGCGCTGGTCAGCTCGATGGGCAGGGCTGGAGGTCTGGGGACATCACCTGCTGATGGGTCTGGTGGTGGTTCCAACCCACAAGAAAATCCTGATGATCCCTCTTCAAACTAATAGCTCGTAACATAGTGATACCAGAAAATAAACCAAGTATTGTCTTCCTATTGCAAAACAAACCTGACAGAAGGGGTACATACAATGAATCCATCACACCTCGCTGTTTTGTTGTGTTTCCTTGCCAGCCCTGTTCACCAGCGAGCTGCTCAGACAGGAGCAGGCCAAGCTGAACGAAGCTCGGAAGATCTCGGTGGTGAACGTCAACCCCACCAACATCCGTCCCCACAGCGACACCCCGGAGATTCGGAAATACAAGAAGCGCTTCAACTCGGAGATACTCTGTGCTGCTTTATGGGGTAAGCCCCTTAGCACACCGTGCCCTCAGCAAAGCTCTCCAGAGCGTGTGGCAAGCAATGAAACGTGACTGTGTCATTGCAGAACCAAGCCCCTGCCTCTGGTTGTCCCCTTCTCCATCCCCGGCAAGGCTAATGTCCCCGAGTCCCTGCGCTGTGAGAGCGATTCTTCATGTTCATGGGAAGATCACAGCCTTAGCTGGGATGGGTCACTCTCTCAGTGGTAGCAGAGACGAGCTCGGGGTGTTGTCCTTGGGAGCAGCCATGGCTCCCGGTGCCCATTGCCCTCTCCTCTTCAGGTGTGAATCTGCTGGTGGGCACAGAAAACGGCCTGATGCTGCTGGATCGAAGCGGGCAAGGGAAGGTCTACAACCTGATCAACAGACGGCGATTTCAACAGATGGACGTACTCGAGGGTCTCAACGTCCTCGTGACAATATCAGGTATGCCTGTCGTGCTCTCACCCCATCATTAACCTTCTCAGCCGTATTCTCAAGCGGTTCCAGCTCAGACAAAACCTGCCCACCACTGTCAGAGAGAAGCTCCCAGGGGAGGTTGGAGGTGGTTTATTCCAGAATCAAAGGCGTTAGATCTACAAGAATGCCTCCAAGAGCAATTTGCTCCCATCGCCTGCCAGCTTCGCTTCATCTGCAAACGCTCCATCCTCCTGTAGCAGGGCAGGGACGGTGCAGGATACAGGCAGGATACGGGCAGATACCCCAGCAAGGCAGGTAGTCACGGCTTGAGGGGGCAGCGAGCTCTGCTCTTGCGTCTGTTTGGCTCTAGCCAGGGGAGCCATGAACCATGGCTTCAGGGCTCCAGCTCAGCCCACAGCTGTGCTTGGGGTGCCCCGAGCAGTGTGAGGGCCATGGGCTTGTCGCTGTCCCCGGGTTCAGCTGGGAGCTCCGGAGCTCTCAAATCAGGCTCATGGGGAGATTTCTGGCAAAAAAGCAAAATCTCTGTAGCCCAGTCTCCCAGGAGAGCACCCAGCGTCCTCCTTGCAGAGCAGCCCTGTGACACACATGGGTGGCAGAGCTGGGGCAGAGCCTTCTCCTGCTGAGACCTGCCCTGCAAAGCTCACGGAGGACAGCAAGAGAAATGCTCATTAGGAAAATTGCTTGATACCATCCTTCTGTTTACTTTCGTGTTGTTCAGCACCTCCCTGGGCTCACTCTGCATTTGCCAGCAAATTCCTGCTCCCTCCATTCAGACGGGGCACCAGCCCCTGCAACAGCGCTGAGGACAAACCCTGAGGGCTTGTGGAAGCCCACGAGCAGACAGAGCCCCTGGTTTATGGTTTGGGTACTCTCCCACCAGCCTCAGTGCGAGCTGTGTCCTGTCCCTGTAGCAGGGGCTTTGCAGCAGCAGAGAGGTTTATAGCCAGATCGCAGCCGTCCAAGAGGCGTGCAGAAATTTGGCAGCCCCTCAGCATTGCAAAGCCCAGCACCGGGCTTGCTGGCAAATAGCACTGCCAGTCACAGACCGAGGACCTCGTGTCTCAGCTCCGGGGTGAAATTAATGTTGTACAAAGGAGAAGAGAGGGAAGAAACCAGGTAGTTGAGGGGTAAGAGAGCTGGGGTCATGGCCCCGCTGTGCCTGACTGTCTCCATGAACACTGATTAATAGGAAGAGGAACATTTCCAGCCTGCGGTGAGCGAGAGCCCGGCTCTTCCCGCATCCACCTGCAGTCTGGGAGGCAGAGGTCTGTGCTCTGCTTTCCATACCTTTTTTCCCAAGCAAAAAAAAACCCACAACAACTGAATTACTATTTTCAACTTCATTGTGAAACGAACTTTTATGTTGCCATCTTGCGAGTGAAAATAAGCACTGAAATCTCAAGATGCACTGCTCTGATGGGGAAGTTTCCTTTGCCAACAGGAAAGAAGAACAAGCTGCGCGTGTACTATCTCTCCTGGCTGAGAAACAGGATTTTACACAACGACCCTGAAGTGGAGAAGAAGCAGGGCTGGATCACGGTCGGGGACCTGGAGGGATGCATCCACTACAAAGTCGGTGAGTGGCCTCTCCAGAAAAAAATGTCTGGAGGGATGCATTTTTGTTCTCTAGTCTTAGATCTGACCTGACAATTTCTCTTAAAAGGATGGGTAGACCACAGCCACAGAGAAATTTGGTCTTCATCTGTATGTATTAGGTGGACACTTTACCAAATGAGGTCCAACAGAGAGATAGCCTGAGAAGCTGTTCCTGGAGATGAGTTGTTCAGTCTTGTTGGAAAGAAAGTGAATGTTTTTAAAATGGGTTTTCTTTTTATTTTAGTGAAATATGAAAGAATCAAGTTCTTGGTGATTGCCTTAAAGAATGCTGTAGAGATCTACGCTTGGGCTCCTAAACCATATCACAAGTTTATGGCATTTAAGGTATGTTTCTCTTTTAACCAAAATACACTCTGTAATTGTAAATACGTGAGATTTCTGTACTATGCAGAGCAGAAAAGCGTCTTGCTTACGTAGCTGCGCTCCTCGGGATGCCTGGCAGGCATGGGAGATGGGATACATTCTGGCTGAAGAGATGGGATACATTCTGCTTACGGCTAGAAATTAAGCATTAGTATTAGCTTATGCTGGCAGGCTTTACTTGGGAGGTTTGCCGAAAGCTGACCAAATGTCCATGAGTAAAGCTGAATTGGGTTTTTTGGTGGGGGGAGATAGTGTTGTGTTGTTTTTTTTTTTAACTTCTGCCTAATTTTCCACATACAGTATGAAAACAGGTTGGCATTATTTTCCATTTTTATTTTGCAAGGTCCTCTCCCCTTCTGCAATGTGGATTCTGTTTCAAGACAGAAAGTCCAGGAGAATGACCCACTCTTTTTCTCTTTTCCTCTCTCTTTTCATCTACCTCAGTTTCCTTCAGTGAGACCTTTCTCCTCTATAACCTGCCAACGGGTATTTTATACTTAGTACTTTAAAGCACTTTTCATCCTAAGCTCTGTGCAGAGACAAGTCACAAGGGGCAATGCCTTCTGGAGACATTCATGCTGAGTAATCTCATTTTGCATCCTTCCAGCACAAATGGGCTTATTTGGTATTAGGTCACATTTGCTTTTTCTGAACAAAAGCCAAAATAAATGGGCTCAGTGACATGGATTGCTCAGCAGCATTAAAATATCCTGGGATCCAGCCTCCGCCGGCTCTGGTGAGGATGCTGGTTGGTGCTCCTGGTGCTGCTTCTCCGATTTGGGGGGGGCTGAGCTTCCTTTCCTTGCCTTGTACGCAGGGATCTGTCGGGACAGTGGGAAATACCACCCACTGATTTTCCCTGTCAGGAGTCAGAGTGGTCCTTGCACAGAGAGCCAGGAGCCCTTTTCTCTCCCTGGGGGTGTTTCACCCTCCTGCTGAGGACCTGAGCCATGGAGAGATACTTTGTCCTGGATTGGTCCATGCCAGGTACCTGGTCCCAGCCTGCATCCAACAGGTTAGATTGAACAGGGATAAGTAGGTCTTTGCTAATCTGACTCATTTCAGCTGCCCAAACTGGAGCTGTCATCCCTGCTGAGAGGGGAGATGGGTGGTCACAGCTCCCTGCAGACTCTCATCTTGTTACCCTGAGCAGCACCGGCATCGGGGGGGTCCCCGCACGCTGGCTGTACACACGCTCATGTAAAATTGAGCTGTCACCTTCCTTTAGAGACCAAATCCTCAGGCTGGCCTTGGTCTCCTGGGGGAAAAGAGCAGTGCTTGGCAAGGGTGAGCACTTATCTGCTGGGATGGCTGGAGCGAGTGGGTAATACCCTCTGAGGCATCTGACATAGGAACAAACAGGAATGTAAATAACCACATATTTAGTAGGAAACACAGTCAAACAAATATGATTTCAAAAGCGTATCAGGCTGCTGCTGTGGGGATTTGTTGGTTTTCTGTGATACTCACTGAAGGGATTATAAAAGTCTTTTGCAGATCTCCAGCACAAACCGTTGCTCGTAGATCTCACTGTAGAAGAGGGTCAGAGACTCAAGGTTATCTTTGGATCACACACTGGTTTCCACGTGATTGATGTAGATTCTGGGAACTCTTACGATATCTACATACCATCTCACGTGAGTACCTGTGGGAGTGCTGCTGCATGACTAACACAGGTCACCAGCAAGGTTTGGACAGGCCCTTGGTGGCTCAGTAATGGTGACCAGCCAGGTGACATCTTGCCATGGGTATGCCGTTCTCCGGTGCCATCCTCATTGATACTCACTTAAAGAGGACTCGGAGGTATCGCATACTTCATGTTCATTATTCACACAGGCTATTTCTGTCCTCGAACCTGAGCAGTCAGGTTTAAGGTCGCCATGTCCCACAGAAAGGAGAATCTGTCCATACGCCACATGGAGCGGTAGTGGAGCTCTCTGTAGGGCAAGATGCCATGAAACCTGGTTCTTGGTTGTTGGACAACATAGACCCACCAAGAGCTGGATGCCCAGAGCACTGTCCCATTGCACGGTGTCCCAGATGTGCTCACCAACACTTACTTGTTCATGCTGAGGTAGTGCAGGTGAGGGTTGCAGGATTAGGGTAGCCCAAACGTCAGTAAGCCTGCAGCTCAAAACTCCCAAACCGCCTGACAGCAGGGACTCACCACAGGACCTTTCTCAGGTCCATCAGCTATTTCAAGAGAGAACCAATGCTACAGCAAATATTGTAGATGAGGATTTTCTTGTTGGCTCATTTAAGTTCCATCCATGCTGTTGGCCCAAGCAGCATGAGAAACTGGTCTAGGAGAAACTGGGTCACTAATCAAATGCAGAAACTGCTGAATCTGATCTGAGCAGCAGAGCCTCCTCTGTGAGAGCTGGCAAAAAGCGTAGGGAGAAATACTGGGGCAGTTTGGGATGGTTTTGTTGTCTTAGCTATGGAAGGGCAGACATGGGTGGAAAGTCGCTGTAGAAGCCCTTGGAGCTAGAGACTGATGGCTAAAAAAATGGGACTATTTCCTCCCTAGGGCTACCTGTAAAATTCTGGGTTCATTTGCCTTAATTTGAGTAGGAGATGGATTCATCAGTCAGCGGTCGCTTATTTGTGTTACAGCCAAGTGTCAGCCATCAGTCTTGGGGGTGTGTATGTTGTGATCGCTCTGTAATTGCTGAACCTGACATGTCAGACAGCTTTGATGGTAGGGTAAATGTGACAGTGTATTCCCCTTCAAGCTTATCTCTGAAAGCCAATGCCTGTTTGTTGAGTCAAGGGAGGGTTTTGTTCTTGGCTTGGTTTGGGGCTTTGTCTTTCTAAGGCTCTGCTCTCTTCTCCCTATCCCTTCCTCCATTCAATGTAATTCTGACTTTTAGGGTTTATTTTAACTGCAGATTCAGGGCAATATTACTCCTCACGCCATTGTCATCCTGCCTAAAACAGACGGGATGGAGATGCTTGTGTGCTATGAGGATGAAGGCGTGTATGTGAACACCTACGGACGGATAACTAAAGATGTGGTGCTCCAGTGGGGAGAAATGCCTACTTCTGTGGGTAAGTTAACCTTTCCTCTTCAGCTGTATGAAATACAAATGAAAAGTAAGATGAGGAGTTGAGGATGCTGAGATGGAGTCATTTGGGCTTTTGTTTATCAAAGGAGATTTCTCTCAGCCAGATAAGAGATGCAGTTGCTAAATGTCTACAATTTGGTCCTGTGCAATAAGAGCAAGTGACTTCTTGGAGATTTGAGCTCTGGTTCATCTTAAGTGTAAGATAATATAAGCTGTTGCACTGCTGGGATACTGTGTTGAGTGGAAGAGGGGCTGAGTGTGGAGCTGGGAGCACCTGGGTTGCTCCTCTGGCTCTGCTGTTGCTCAGCTCCACGACCCATGGAGGCAGGCCACTGCCCAGATCCTCACCCACAGAAATCGGAAGAAGTGATACTTCTTCCGTTTAAATGAATCAGCAATTTCTGGATGAAAAGTGCTATGTGGAGGCTATTATCCCTGTGGGCACATGCCTGGCCGCCTGTGCCTCTGGCAGTCAGAGCTCTGCCATTGATCTACCCAAGCTTTGAATAACAGCCAATGAGAGCTTTTCTGCCTGTTGTGTCATATTTAGCTCAACACGTGTTGTAACACCTACCAAACACTTCCTTTTGACAGCCTACATTCATTCCAATCAAATAATGGGCTGGGGAGAGAAAGCTATTGAAATCCGCTCAGTGGAGACGGGACATTTGGATGGAGTATTTATGCACAAGCGAGCTCAAAGGTTAAAGTTTCTATGTGAAAGAAATGATAAGGTAAGTCCACTTCAAAGCTTGTACCCATGCTTTAAGCTACAGCCAGCTACTTTTAGACTTCAAGTCTGGTTTATCTTGAGGTTAATAATTAATCTGAAGGTCCTGTTTAATAAGCAGTGCCCATAAACCCCCTCCCAATTAATTCAGTGGATGCAGCCCTCAGCATGTGATGGGAAGATCTGCAAGATGTCTTCCACCTCAAGCTGAGATCTACGTTGACTTGGCTTGACTTTCTCCCAAGTCTTGCATCTGAACATTAACTATTGAGGCTGCCAAGTAAACTCTGCAAGAGCTGAGAAATGGTAGCACTAAGGATGTGTAAGGGACCCTGATTTGAGCTCTGGTGCAGAAACGCTTTGATGCATTTTTAGTTTTGTGATCTTAAAACTATTTTCTCCATGGAGCCCCATTATTTTCTGTGGACAGCTCTGGAGGGGCACCGGAGTTGCATGGGGAACACGGCT